ATCCTTATTTTGGGAGGGGTTGAAAAACTAGGTGGCCACTCATTTTGACACTATTTTATATTATGATTTTATTATTTCCTATGCATATATCTTGTTCTTTCTATTCTCCTCGCTGTAGTTTAAGTTCCTTAAACACAGATGTAGAAGTAAACAAAGACCACCCAAATGAGAATAAGCAAAGTCTATTTATTCAGAGTTTGCTATACTAAGGGAGTCAGCCACCATCATTTGGGTTGGGCAGAGATTCAAAGGCAGGCAGAGGAGTGGAAAAGCTTTATTAGTGGGGAATATGGAATGCTTCAAGTGTGCCCCGATTGTAGGCTGTTGGCATAGAGAAGCTGGAGGCAGACTAAAAGCAGAGCGTTCTATGTGATTGGTTAGAACTGTGTATAGGGCTTTCTTTGTTTGCCCTAAGTTGGACACAAGAATAAAAAATAGGGAAGCTGTCAGTTATTAGTCAGTTTCCACCACGTGGGGCTGAATGCTATAGAAGTCATTGTTTGGGGACGCCTGGGTGGCTCAGTTGGTTAAGCACCTGACTTCCGCTCAGGTCATGATCTCACAGTTTGTGGGTTTGAGCCCCACGTTGGGCTCTGTGCTGACGGCTAGCTCAGAGCGTGGAGCCTGTTTCAGATTCTGTATCTCCCTCTCTATCTGACCCTCCCCTGCTCATGCTGTCTCTCCCTCTCTCTCTCTCTCTCAGAAATAAATTGAAAACAATTAAAAAAAGAAGTCATTGTTTGGCTTCCTTGACTATCGATTATAGACAGTGGATTGGCTTTCTGGATTGCTGGCTGCAGACAGTGGGTCAGAGTTCTGTTTTTACATATGGCCTGGCCATTGTCCGTTTGTATATTCAGTCTCTCACAGGGACCACGTCTTACACTTATATTACACCTGGCCTTCCCCCATGCTCTTCTGGTTCTCTAGTGTTTATTACCTGCCCAGAAACAAAACAGGTGTATGGTAAACCTTTGGCTGAGTGATGGGGCTGCACATCAGGTAGAAATGAACACTGAGCTATGAGGTGGCTTGGGTAATTCACTCAGTTCTATTCCAGTAGATTTCATTTCATTCACATTTATAGTATCCCTGTGATATGTCAGGCCCTAAAAGACATGCTGATGGCACAAAGAAGGGTGAGACAAAATCCCTGCTCTCAAATAGTCCTTAACAAATCCCTCTTTAAACTTTAGGTTTTCATCTATAAAATGGCAACAATAATTGCATCAAGCTCTTGGGAGGGTATAATCAGATAAAGTACATGAAAGCATGCAGTACATTGGAAAGGGTTATAAATTGTGAGGAAGTTTTGCTATTTTAAATGTCTAACAATTGTCTCTCTGAAAGGACAAAGTAGCTACAGAAAATGATGTGCTTGGTAAACTTTTCCTTCGTTTTCTATAAGTATAATTTATGATATAACCACACCACGTACAGAGAACCTCTGCATTTCTTTTTCTAGATTTTTACTGAGGGATCTGGGTATAATTATACCTCTGTCTTTTCGGGGGGTGATACAGTTTCAAAAGCCTGTTTAAAGGATTTCTAGTTGCCAAGCTGTCCTGTGAACTGGCCAATACGATTCCTTGAATCATCGCCCAGTGCGGACCCAATTTATATTTGGAATTTCATGCCATCTTGAAGGAACATCATCCAGTGCCAGGGTCTTCTTTGAGCTAATTGGGCTTTGGCAATGATGTCATTCCATGGTGGGCGTTTGTCGAGACTATGGCAGTGATAACGCAAGTCTCATTTTCGGCAGCGTGTGCCCATGTGTGCAAAAGGCTGCTCCCCTCCCTCACATGCAATCACTCCTCCTGCTGCAGTTTCACTTCTGGTCCCTTTCTGAAGATGAGAGATCAGTAGGCTATTTATACCCCATGGCTAGAAACATTCCTCCCCTTCTATTCTCCCCTTCTATTCTATGTGCAACTATTTCTCCTGTTATTAGTATGGCTTAAAAGGAAATTAGGAAGAGTAATCATCAAACTTATTGAACTTTCAATAAGCAGGAAACAGAGGGAAGTTCTCTCCTTGGGTCAAAATTATAGGTGTTGGAATCAAGCAGATCTCTTTCGAATGGCTGCCCAGCTACTTGTAGCTGTGGATTGGACAAGGTTGTTAACCTATACCAGCCTCAGTTTCCTTACCAGGAGGATGAGGGTAATGCTTTTTGTCTCATAGGCTCATGGATTAAATGTAAGCCAGGTTTATGGTTGTTCCCCTATGTCTGCTGACTTTGCTGACCTCAGACTTTCTTTCTAACCTATGAAATAATCTTCAGGTCCCATGGGCAATGGGGAATAAGGAAGAATTTTCTGGTGATTTTCCAAGGGAGATGGAGAAGGCTTCATTACATGCTTTGCTGTGGGTTTCCACAATCCCTAGGATCCCTCCAGAACACTGTCCTCAGCCTCTACTCTATTATTTCTGAACAATTCAGTTCTGCCCCAGACTTGCACACCATTGCAGTCCACAGCCATCTTGTTACTCAGTAGTTCAAAACTCTGCTGTTAAGTGAACACCCGACTGTCTATCAGAAAGAACTTTAGCACTCACCACTTATTACTTCAGTATGTCTTTTGGGGTCTCATCTCTCACTCAAATCATTTATCAAAATATTGGTTGCAGTCATATTTGAGTTGTCCCCCTCAGAGGTATCCTAAGGGGGAATGTAAAAATAACTTCCCTCATTTTGCTGCATTAGTTTCATATTACATAATACATACAAAACACTTAGTGCCACATAGTAGTACTCACAAACACAGTAGTACTCAACGAACAGAAGTTCATTATTTAGGCAAAGTGAAAGCAATGTGGTGAGATACACAGCTTTGATATATCTGAAATAACTGCTACATTTAAAAATTTATAATCTTGTAGTTGTCCCTTAATTGTTTACATTCTGTTAGAAAAGATATCAGCAATTCTAATTTGAAATGCCCAAGGCATCAGAGGCATTAAGGGTGTGTCCCCGCAGACTTACAGCTTGATAGGCCATCATCATCTTTTTCTCTTTATACAGTTAGGTTAAATGACTCTCCCAAGTTTACATCAGCCTCTAAATTGCAAAGGTATGGGCTACAACGACGTGGTTTTGTTAAAGAAAATAAATACTCGACTGCCATTCTGTCTTCTCCAACAGGGAAGTTGCATGGACCCCAACCCACAATGTCCCATGGTCTCTCAGTGTCCCTCAGAGAGTAGTCACTGATGTTCCCAGCTGCTTTGTCTCTTCTTTCTGCTCTTAGCAAGTCTGTTTGGACTTCTTTCTGCCACTGTGTGGTTTGTCAGCTGTTCTGCTCTCCTGGTGACTTCTTACCCATTTAACAACAGAGAATGTGCTCTGGGCCAGACATTCAGCCAAAGGCTGGGAAAACAGAGGCGAGAAAACACAGTTCTCCCGTGAACCCAGCTACATCATATGGAGTAGTGAGCCATACGGCACTGGATGAGCTGGTGTTCAAAGCAGGGCAGGATGGAAGAGATTCATTTTCACCTAGGAAGTAGGGAGCCAGGGAAGGTTTCAGAAGCTCTGATGTTTGATACGGGCTTTGAGGAACAAGAGATTTTTCTAGGCCATGAAACAGATGATGACAATCATTCTAGACTTTTTGGGTGTGCCAGCCAAAATCAAACTTCAAGGAGGAAAGGAAACTCAAGGGGACAGAAGCAAGACCTTTTATTACTTCATCTTTTCCCATGTGGAGACCCCATTAAAGTACCAAAGGGCTTTGTATTTTCCATTAATAAGGAAGACCATTCCCTTATAAATGAAAGTCTTTTTCCTTTTATACAGAGAGGTTAAATGACTTGTCCAAGTTTGTATATTGAGTAGGTAATAGACAGAGCCTAAACCCATGCCTACCACAGGGTTTAATCTCTAGTTTGTGGTCAATAGCCAATATCTATTGCATGACCAATGAATGAATGAATGAATGACGTAGCAACACTCTCAACAATAGCCAAAACATGGAAAGAGCCTAAGTGTCCATCAACGGACGAATGGATCAAGAAGATGTGGTTTATCTATACGATGGAATACTACATGGCAATGAGAAAGAATGAAATCTGGCCATGTGTAGCAACCTGGATGGACCTTGAGGGTGTTATGCTGAGCGAAATAAGTCAGGCAGAGAAGGACAAATATCATATGTTTGCACATATAGGAGGATTAGGAGGAACTTAACGGAGAATTGTGGGGGAGAAGAAGTGGGGAAATAGTGGGGGAGAGGGAGAGAGGCAAACCATGAGAGGCTCTTGAATGATGAGAACAAACTGAGGACTGATGGGTGGGGGGGGTGGAGGGGGGAGATGGGCATGGAGGAGGGCACTTGTGGGGATGAGCCCTGGGTGTTATATGGAAACCAGCTTGACAATAAACTATTTGTAAAAAAAAAAAGAATTATGAAAAAAAAAAAGAATGAATGAATGAATGAATGAGTGAATGAAAAAACCCAGTTCTCCTGACTCCCATATAGTATGATTTCTGCTACTTGGCATTTGTTGCTGTTGTCATTTGGTTACACCCTAGCTGATTATTATCACCAGCCCCAGCAACACCCCAAGGGATATTGAGACCTTTGTGGATCCTCAAATTCATGAAAACATCTAAATCTATAACACATAGATTTTTCCTCATATGAACATTTTACATAGGGCAGGGAATCCACCAAACAGTTTTAAAAATTGCTTTCCATTCTTTCTGCCCCTTGTCTCACTACCTTTCAATCTCTCCTGCCCACAGCCGTCAGGGGCTTGACCTATGTGTACCTTGAACTACACCTCTCATATGCTTTCCGTGTAGCCTGTCTGCAGTTCCAGGCCCAAAGTGCTTCTCCAGCCCAGGGTTGGAGCCTCCAACCTGCCTTCTCCTCCTTTCCTTTCACTTCATTTATTCCTACATTAATTCAACAAGTATTTATTGAGCACTTCTTAAGAATCAGACCCTGTGCACTGATGATCCAGGGGTAAAGAGAAAAGACATACCGTCTTACCTCATGGAGCTCACTATCCAGTGGAAGAGACAATAGAAAATGAAAGTTAGATTATGTTATGGTTTATATTATGTCATGGTAGTTTCGCTAAGTGCCACAAAAGGGAAGTATCGGATGGTGAGATTGTTTAGCAGGGGAATATAATTTGTTTAGAAGGGCCAGGAGGAGCTTCCCTGAAGAACCACACTTAGAGGGTAGGAAATAGCTCAGCAAGGAGACGGGGGGCAGTGGGGGCATTCCTGGCAGAGGGCACAGGATGGGTAAAGGCCCTGAAGAAGGACTGAACTTGATTTTCCCAAAGAGATTTGGAAAGGGCTTATGTGGCTTATAATGGCTTGGTTCAGTGACAGCTTCATGACGGTTTCCTACTGCACTGGAAACAAAATCCAAAGTCCTTATTCTCATAAATAAGGCCACACATGGCCCAGAGCCATACTGTAGCTCAGCTCCCTCTGCCACTGGCCCCATTTTTCTATTCCTCAAAAATGGCAAACAGTTCATTCTTTGGGCAACTAAGTTTTTTTCTCCCTTCTACCTATACCACATGCATAGCAGATATCTTCATAGCTCACTCTGTCATTTCATTTGAGTTTGCACTAAATTGCTATCAAAGGGGCCTTCTCTGCTCCCTCTTCCTATGACAGTGATCCTCCATTGCTTCTGTCCCACTACTCCACGTGTTATTCTTCGTCACACCTACCACCCCCCGGCATATCCTGTTTACCTGCTAATGATCAGGGTCCCTCCCCTAGCTTGTAAGCATCATGATGAAAGCTACCTTTTTTGATTGCTGTATCCTCAGCATCTAGCAGTGCCCGACTCATAGTTGGCGCTCAATAAATATGTAAAAGGGCTGAAGGGGAAGGGTGATACAGAACTGGACTGGAGAGAGAGCCAGGAGCGAGACTCTTTGACACATACCATACTTCATGCCTCTGGGACTCGCTCATGCTTTTCCCTCTGCCTGCAGTGTTCTTCCCAACCCGCTTCTGCCACCGTCTGTCCCAGTGGAAGTCCCACTGACATAGCCATTGCCTGAACTTCCACATAGCTTTTAATTTCTCTTTGGATTCTAGCGAGTGGGATATATGTTTGACTCCTGTCCTCAAAAAGACAGCTCCCATTGGATAAGACGGTATTGGATTCATGCCTGACCCCAGTCCAACATAGAGTCTAGGAAGAGTAGGTGCCTGGAAAAGTCTTTGCTTAATTGGATGGCAGGAGGGCAATAATTTAGGAGAATAATAATCCAGGTCAGGAATTTTAATAAGGTTGGGGAGCTGAGCCAAAGTCATGACTGGATTTGAAGGAACATAACAGTTAAAAGCATGAACTCAGAGACTTGGTACCTGGGTTTTGAATCTAGCTCTGTTAATTACTAGTGATTTACTTAAACCCTAAAAGCCTTCATTTTCTTATCTGTAGAATGGGTATAAGAAGAGTACCTCTCTCACAAAATCATTACAAAATTTACATTAATCACTGTATGGAAGTATTCAGAACAGTACAAGGAACATAGTGAATACTATATACATGTGTTTTAAAACATAAATAAAAAGCCTAGGGTACTGTCTACAGGCAAGACAGCTCAAAATCCGGGGGCGGTCTGAGCTCGGTAGAGGGGCGGCATCTGGAGATTCACCTGGGAACCTGGGCTGGACAGTTGGAAGCAAGGAGATCTTGGGAGCCAAAGCCCAATCTAAACCTGTGCTCTAGTCCATTGTTTTACGGAAGGGGAGACTGAGTCCAGGAATAACCTTCCCCAAACTCCCACAACTCAAGTGGTCCCCAGTCCAATGCGTCCGCTATGATTTCCCCACAATTTATCAGTGGGAGCCAATAACTGGCTTCCTAGGTGCCGGTTTATTATTTATTTCCTTGTTTATTTCCCTCCTTGTTTCTTAGAGCAGTTGAGGAAGCTTATAGAAAGAACTAGAAGGCGAACTATCAGTTAAAAACAAAATTAGGATTAGGAGACATATACATTAAAATAAGAGGCCAGAATGGCAGTGAGGAAGGAGAGAGTGGTGACGACAGATTACAAGGGTCTATGCAGTTTTTATTTTTACGTGCAGATTAAGTTCTGAGCTTCCGACCAGCCAATGTGAAAAGAGGCACAGGGTCAATTGCATAGAAAAAAAGATCCAAGTGTTTTCTCAGTTCTTAGCCCTAAGAGAAGTCCCTTATTTGTGCCAGGCTCCTCAGGATGACATTGAAAACAAACTTTTTCTTCTGATGATCTCTGTTCTGTTCTGGATCTGTCTTGGCTGATGGGTTGTCCAGATTTCTTCCCTAAGGTGGTTATGACTTCTGAATTTGCATAAAAAATCTTATATCCTCATTTTGAGTCTTCTGTGATTATGGGGTTCCCCTGATCAGCCAAGAACTACATTTGTGATTCAACCTCTTAGAATTTATGTTTCTTGAAAACCTTAAAGGTCATCAAGTCTAACATCCCCATTCCACTCGCCTTCTGATGTTTGAATCTTCTCTGTAACAACTCCATCAAGTGGCCATCCAGATTTTTCTTGAATGCCCCAGTGACAGGGAGCTCACTACCTTAAAAGGCATCTAATGTCATCTGTCCATGAAGTTTTTTATTCTATTGAGTTGACATCCGAATCCTGTCCATGCTTACTGAAAGTGACATTTCATTACCGAGGAAAGAAGTCAAATGGCCAGCAGGAAGAAACTCTGGGAATCCTGAGCTTCCTTAGAAGTAGATTTTTGTTCAAATAAAGTGTTAAAATTAAAGCAGTATATATCCGAGTGGGGCCAATTGGCATTAACTCATCACAGCATATGGTGTGCTTCCTTTTATATGCATGTTTAGCAGCTAGTGGGTACCAAACCTCACACAGCTCTCAATTGCTAGCACTAATGAAGGATCTGTTTGCTTTGGGGGATAAAGATGGTATCACTGATTCACAGTTGTTTTTCCAGGAGTGATGAACAGATTTCATTTCCTCATCCCCACTCTCTTGCTTGGTCCTTTCTCGTCCCCACTACCACTACCCTTCTTCAGACCTCACTGTCTCTTGCCAGAACTGTTCACTTGCCTCTCCGACTGGCCTCCCTGCCTTAGATCCGGCCCCCTCTGGTCTCAGATCACACTACCAGAGGGATCTTCATCAAGCACAGATTTGCCATTTCACTTCCAGCTTGAAATCCTTCAGTGGCTCCTGTTAGCTCCTTCGTGGAATCCAAGTTTCTTGGCATATAAGGCAGGCCAGGCAGGGTAGGGGGTCGGCTGAGGCCACAGAATAGGACAAAGTTAACTGTCCCTCGTCCAGGGACACCTGTGCCCCCAGAGTAGCATACGGCCTTCTGGAACAAGAGCTTACCTTTGTAGAACTTTACAGTATCCACTCTATTCACTGGCAAAAATTAATTTTATCTCCAGTGGGCAGAAGAAGAAACAGAGAATCTCTCAACGCTACCAGGAGTAGACGTGCTACTACTGATAACAATAATAATTGAATATTTTTATAGCCCTTCTTATGTGGCAGGTTCTGCCTCTAAGCACTTTCTTATTTCGTTGAGTCCTCACAAGACAACAGCACTGGCACGGCCCCCGAGGGTGAGCACCCCCTCGAATTTTGTGCCCTGGTGCCTCATTTATCTATACCCCCTCCCCCGGTCCTAGCCTTGGCAGGACTCATGTGTGGGCAACGCAAGGAACAGGCTTCTGGGGCAGCTGCTGCGAAAATCTCAGACGGGCAGTTTGGCCTGAGAAAAGGTTCAGCCTCACTGCGGGTGGTCGGGGAAGAAGGCCCAGCCCAGGGCTTTGCCGTCAGGGTCGGAGACCCGGGAGGCCGTTATCACAGCAAGCAGCATGGTGGAGAAGAAGATTTGGGGCTGGTGGGGGCCACACGCAGCACTGCAGTTCTGGACCTCAGTTTCCTCCTCCGTGTGGACAGTGTCAGTGGTCCCCTGTCTCAGTCTCCTGGTCGAACCAGGCTCAGTTTGATGGTGGCCGTCAAGGTGTCTGACGAGCAGTAAAGTGAAGTAGGGACACAGCATGAGGTGGGAGTGGGGATCCTAGTGGGTATGAGGAGCCCGGGGTCAAACGTAGCCCCACCACCGACTCACTCAGGGAGCGTGGTGCACAGCTTCCCCTTTCTGGGGCAAGAGTTCATATCTCATGAAGGTGGTCGAAAGAACTCGGCTCAACAAGGGCAGCTGTGCCGCACCCCACGCGATCAGACCAGCTGCCGCGCCGCCATCCCAGCCCCAGGGGCAGCACGCGGCCAAGAGCGGCCTGGCCTTCCAATCCGAGCCCCAGCTCTGCCCTCTTGGCTCAGCCGCAGTGAAACGGCTCCTTCCATACAGACCCAGGGCCGTGCCCCTGCCTGCCCGTCCCACCCCCCACACTTCCTCCGCAGCTTAAAACATGCCACTTCCTCAGGACTCGGAGGCCCACCTTAGGAAGTGTGAGATCCATGTTGATAACTAGCTAGGAGGCTAATTGAAAATATTTTGGGGTTTGTATGTTAGCTCTGTCAAATCAAGTAAAAAATCATTCTTATCTATCATAACCAGCAGTTATGCAAGTCTGCCAATGGCATTAATTAAAGCACTTTCTTACTTCTCAGAGCATTTATCTTAAATGAGGAACAGGAACATTCAGAGACCTATTTTATTCTCTCCAGGAGCCGTAGCCCCATCTGAATTAATGCCGTACGGGAAGAGTCTATCCTGGAGGGCAGGGGGAGTTTGATTCCTTGCGGGCAGATATTTGAGCTCTGTATTTATACAGCACTATGTGTTACCAGGTGTCCTCTTAGATGGGATAGGCTGTCCCCCAAGTGAGCCTTCACACTTCTCATATCACCACTTGAGATTTCAAGCCTTACTTTGACCCCATGTGGTGGGCAGAGTGAATGTTGTCTACAGAACAATTTTATATCCATTACCCTTTTTGATCTTCACAACAGCTCTCTGTTCTTGGTTATTATCCCTGTGCTACAGCTGAAAAAACTTGGACTTGCTTGCTGTAAAATAGAGTTGAACAAAATTTT